CAAATGGAAATTCCTATTTGTGACAAAAATAATATTTCTGCCTCATAGCACCTCTAATATGTACTTATACACAGTACCATCTTATCAACTTTATCAAGCTTGTACAATTCTATGTACTTTAAAAATGTACTTTCATAAAAGTAGTTTTTATCTTCATGTCTACAAATTCCCATTTTCCTCCAACAGCTTTTAAGTTGCAGGACAATGCTAAAAAGACTTTCACGTATTTAAAACCAATTCTCTCATTTTCATCCCGTGCAACCCAACTAACTATACTTACATCATTTGGAATGGTGAGTTCATGAGAAGTAGTCTGAGCAGATGCATCCAAACCTGCTAAAAGACAGAAAGAAAGCAAGAAAGTTCAATGCACAGCATTCAAAAAACCCACTACTGCACATTAAACTAACAGAAGAAAATAAACAGGAAACCCAGCATTAGCTGTTGGGATTAGTCACTAACTTGGAAGCCTCCAAAGAGGAAAGACGGGGAGAAGGGTGTAGAAATAATGCTGTAAAGATTCTTCTGTACATTCAGAAGAGCTGATTTCATGCCATTTCCTGCAAAGCCCAGTCTATTAGGGACAGGGGGATGGAAGCAAGGGGCAAGGGAGTGTGGTATCTTCAAAGAGGACCAAATCTAAACAAGTCCCTCTGTATTTCTACCCTTTTTCTGCTTATGTTTCCTGTTGTGTTCCAATTTTGTCTCACCTGATGCTTACTAGGCACCAGTGCCAATATCATGCCTGTTAATGGGTACCATGGACTTTTGGCACACATGCAGTTGCTTTAAATATACCTGTATCAGATTAACACCCTCCACCCCTATCCTCCTAAACTTGAAGGTCAGACAGAATGAAATGGCAGCCAAATGAGGGGAGTTCATTCTCCACATTCATTCCCTGTCTTTTTCTCAATAATTTGTTCTGGCTTTGTCTTCCAAACAAAAAGAAAAAAAAATAATCTCATCAGCAAATATTCATATCCATCTGTAACACCTGGACTTAACCAGGCCAGTTTACTAACCCTTAAGCCTAATCCTGCTTAACTGTGACTACTGGTCTCAATACTTTAAGAAGGGGGTTGGCCAGATCCATCAAGGGACCGTTGCGGGCACCAGGCCCACCCCTTTGCTCTCTCAGCTCCTCTCTGCCATGTGAATGTTGCTGGTATGGTTCATGGGCAGTGAAACAAGACTCCCACCAATTTATTAATATAACAGTAGAATACTACAGATTTTTTTTTTTAATCATTACCCCAATAGCCTTTCACCTCTGGAGAGCTGGATTCAATGCCTGTTAAGATACAAGTGAAAATGAGTTTGGTGGTCTCATCCTAACCCTATCGGACAAGTTATTCCTTATACAGAAAAGCCCAAGAAACAAAACAAAACAAAAACAAAAGAACACTACACAATTTGGCACAAATGGATGGTCTCTACCCAAGCCTGTGAATAGAAGGTGGAGAGAGTGGAGAGAAAGGGGATGCTGATCAGATTAAGGGGGCAGCAGTTAGAATGGTTCAAAGAAATACCAGCCTACCCTTTGCCTGAGAAGCATCCCCAGACCTCACCCCCAAACCTTCCAGGGACTTTTTTTTTTTCTTTTAGAGTAACTGATCCCAAATGAAAACCATGTTAACAAACACATTACCTCCTTGGGCTTAGCCATAGTAGACAGACAGGTTTAAACCAGCAGGATGCTGGGTAACCAAGTTTGTTTTAAACAGTGTCAAACTGAGACCTTGGGACTGGCCTCTGTCTTGCACTACACCTTACAAAAATAAAACACTAAGGCATCCATACCACTGAATCCGGTGTTGCCATGCGTCATGGGAAAATGAGACTGTTGCATTGCCAACTGGTGCAGCTTGGTCAACTGCAAGGAGGAAACAGGAAAGGCTGGCATTAGTAGAATTAACAGCCAAGGCTCAAGCACCTTTAAATTTGAGAAGGTAGAGGTCCTGATCCCCAAAGTTGATTCTACTTCTCAAACTACAACAGAAGGTAGGGATGGGGCTTACATCACAATCCTGGGGATGGGCATACAACGAACAGTAAGAGTTAGAAACAGAGTGGCAGTATGAAAGAACAAATGCATTTTGGGTATATAAAATGATAAGCAATAGCACTTGACCAAGAACCATCCTCTTGTGGGCTAGTTAATGAAGGTTTTTGCAGCCATTGCAACAGTTGCCCAAGGGATAAGCACAGACAGGTTATGTAAACAAACTGTGCAGTGGTGCTAGGGGAAACACACCATGCGGGATTCATCAGTATTGGGAAGAGGGAAGGAGATGAGGGGGGCAGGGAGACTGCAAAGGAGGAGAGAGGTTAAGAAGAAACCAAACTCGGTTTAGTCCCACCATCACCACTGACTTCTATAGCTATTTTTCTTCATCTATATAAAATGTCCTGGTTGTTATAAAATAATCCTTCATATCTAACTCCCCCTCTCCTGGTTCCTACCACTAATCAAGAAGCCAAACTCAACTTCCCAAATCTAATGCTCAGCACCTGAAAAAGTTAGTAAGGATAAAGGAAAATGCAGAAAGAAACGCCCCTGAACAAAGTCTAAATACTGACATTTGTAAATACGAGCTTTTATTGGCAAGAAAGGTTTCTTGAGTTTAAGTCCAGATTTTCAGCACCCTATCCCTCCCTAAGTAATAAGCCCCCTCCTCCCCACCAAATACTTTCAAAATTTGTCACCCCAGATTCATAAATACCCAAGGGCAAAGGGCAAACCCAACACCCCCACTCCCACCATGAATATAAGAATTCCATGCAAGGAAGCACAGCCCACTTTCAATTTTAACTGTGCCCTGAAATAACATGACAATATACCACGGGACATTTCTCTTTCAGACAGAGTAATCTGAAACATGGGGAAAAGTAGAAGCTAGTAATCTGAATCATAATTTAAATGCCAAAAGACAAGCAAGGCACTATTACTCTATAATTAAAGATTAATTCTTTAAGGCAAATAAGGGGTTCACCTTGTGAGGAAAACAATATTCCAAATGTTTAAGACCCAGCTCACTTCTGGCTACTTGGGAGAAAGAGTCAGACAATTTTGGATGGGAAAGGGGAACTTTTCAGAACAAGAAGTGAAAACAAAACTTACATCTGGCTGTGGAATGGCATACTGTCCTTGAATGGTATAGGCCTACAAAAGGAGGAAAACAGTTCCTATTAAACACCAATCATGGACAGCCACCCAGTGGGGGGAAAAAGACAGATTTCAACTAGCCAGGAAGCCAGAGTTGAACTAGAGGAGGGGGGGCCAGGGATTGAGGCAGTAGATGGAATCTGATTTTATTAAGGGGACCCTATAAAGGTAGCCAAAGGCAATCAAAGTTAAAACATACACATCTCAATGAAAACATGGGAAGTGAGATTAAGCAATGCCTCGACTGACCAAGCCCCCACTCTTCCTCCCTATAAATAAGTTACCCTAGGTAATAATGGTCTTTTCCCTCACCACCCCAACCCTTCTACCAATCATGGTGATGTGAAAGATTTGTATCTGCACAAACCTACATGGCATGTTTTGAAACATTTCTCCTTCCCTATCTGATTTTTCTCTATATCTGCCTACAGACCTTAAGTATACTGGAAGCTAACTGGGTCCCTAACACTAGGGAGCTGAACCAGAGGAACACACATACACACACACAAAAAGTGTTCTAAAGTCCTGTCTTCTCCCTCCTCCCCTCCATAAAAGGCACTTGCAGCTCCCACTGTGCCCACCTCCCCCCACACCATAACCTCCCAAAAAGGGAGTTGGGTCTTCAGGGCAATGGGGTGGGGAACAAGGAGGAAAGGAAAAGGGAACAGGAAGGGGAGGGTAAGGAAGGAGTCTCTGGTTAACAGGATGTGAAACTCCTCACATCACAGTGGCCAGTACCCCCAGAAGTGTACCCAGGTAGGGGTGGGAGGAAGGTGAAAATGGGGTAAGAGGAATGGGAAAGGGGGGGAAAGGAATTGAACAAAAAAAATTTAAAAAAAAAAAAAAAAGTTGGTGTTACCATCTGGTGGGCTACGCGGCCTGTGTGAAATGAGGTGGGGGGGGTCAGTCCAGGTCCCCGTGGACAGGTGGTGTCCACAGCACAAAAATCACCAGCGCCACTGGCCCCCCGCGTGTTGGCAGTCTCGGCTGAGGCGGAAGGATTGAGTGAGCCTTGGAGACTGAACATCCCCTCTCACCTCTAGAGGTGGTCCCTCCAGGTCAGGGTTGAGGCACATGGACGGGGTGGTGTGGGGAAAGCTCGCACTGTCGCTGCCTGTGCTGTACCTGTCCTGTGGATAAATAGAGGATTTCAGTCTCCAGGGCTGTCAATCCGGCACCTTGTCACCAGCATGAAATTCACACAAAAAAAGGTCGTTTATTTTTTTCCTTTAAAAAGGAGCTCACAACACAATTTGAAACGAGCTGCAATCAGTGAATTAAAAAAAAAAAAGTTACCTAGTGGCAGATTTCACACTGAACAACAGGGCTATATTATAAGAGTGAAAGGGTGGGGCAACAGAGCTGATGCCAGCTCCTGGTCAGTGTAGGATTAAGTTGAACCCCTATAGAGCCCACTTTGCCACAAAGAAACAAAACACAGGTCCATCTGCGGACATTGTATGAACTGGTCCATTTAAAAAGGCCCACAGGAATGATCCATGACAGGGCCACTCATGGAAGAAGCTGCAAGCTTTCAGAGGGTGGTCAACTGAATCAAAGAGGGAGGGAGGTTAGGGAAGCAAAGAGGTATGAATGGGGAAGGATAGGGCAGGGGAAAAAAACAAAGTGAAGGAAGAATGTTAAGTTAGAGAGGACCACTGCCACCCAGTACTCTTTATAAAACCAAATGGAAGTGGGAGGATCCAGAAGAGCAGGAACCTAGAGTTCCTGGGAGAAGGGAAAACTCCTAAGGCTAACCCCCTCCTGGGTACACTGACTCTGGGACTTTGCTTATCTTGCCTGACTATCCATACTGACCAAGAGCCCTTTGCCCAAACAAGTTTGTACAAGGCTAAGGCTAAAAGCAAGGCATTAAACCATCTCAAGGTAACATGACTAACTTCTTGTGAAAGCTCCCAAAACTACATGACAAACTAAGCCTCCTAAAACTAGTTCAGTTTTATGGCTATTCAGAAGAATGTGAATGAGATGGACTCCAAGATTATGCTTCCCTTCTAAGTGGCTCCCAGATCATATCAAATGGAACTAAATGAATAATAACACTTTGTAACAGGCCAGCTGCCAAATGGGAAAAGGTGTTTTGACCAATGCACTTGCTTAGGCAGCTACCAAAAATCTTAGTTACTATTTCAATCTGAGTCTTGATACAGTCGGACCTATTTGTCCCTAAACTTATCTATGGGGGATTAGTTCTAGGACCTCCACCACTCCCCACAAATACCAAAATTCATGGCTGCTCAAGTACTTTACATAAAATGGTTTAGAATTTGTATATAACCTAAGCACATCCTCCCATATAGTTTAAAGGTTCAAATCATCTCAACTTACAATGTCTAACACAATCTAAGTGCTATGCTAGTTGTTTTACTATGTTGTTTAGAGAACGACAAGGGGGATGAAATCTGTAAATATTCAGTCCAAACACAATCACTCATTTTTTTCTGTATATTTTCTACCTGAGGTTGGATGAATGCATAGATGTCCAAACCAGACACGACTGGCCAACTGTATTTAAAAAGCTGACCTACTTATTCCTCAAATACTAACCAATAAAAGACTACTATGATGCTCATCAATGTTCTTGTCACAAAAATCTAACTTCAGAATATACCATGTGCCAAAGATTAAAAGTTTAGGTTCATGAAGAAGGAGCAAGGAGAGGCTGGGGGGGGTGGGGTGGGGGGTGTGCTTTGGTGTTTTTATTCTAACACCAAAGGTCATAGCACCACAGTCCAATACACTCCCCCCTTCTATTCTTGCACTCTGAACTCTTTCCCCCAACTGATTTCAATTATGCCATGTGGGTTCAAACCAGTGCTTATGAGGTTAAGAGCCTAGGGAACAACACACTGGAGTTTGGGAGTGAATGGGGTAGGAATAGGGGAGGTGAGGTGGAGGGAAGGGGAAGTTTGTAGGACACTCAAGTTCAAGACCGCCACCCCCCAATTTTGAGACCACCATCCAGAATCTCCTCAGAGGTCCAAGTTTCTGCTACTTTTATGCAGACCTCCAAAGATCAACCCACCCACAAAAAAGCATGGATAGGGTGGGGCTAAGGAGAGAAGTCATGGCAGTAAGGTAATTTAACTCTTCATTCTAATCCAACCCACCTTAAATTACCATATAAATTACCTCTTCAGAGTGCCTACAAAACTTCCATTGCCTGCCAAAAATTAAACAAGGGTTTGGGCATTCAGAGCTTTCTCAAGTACAAAAAAAACTAAAAGCAGGTCAAACTATGGCGAGAGTACAGGTTTCAGCAAGCATGCAGAGTGGCTTGGTGTGCTGCTGGCAAAGTTTACATTTCAAATATAATCTTTGTTCATTCTAAGCCCACCAATAAGAATTTTCTTACCTGACCACCTGCAAAGATGACTGGAGAACTGGAAGGCTTGGGCCGGTACGGGATGGTCACGCCCTTCGGAGGGGACTGGGAGAGAGTCAGAAGGGAAAAAAACAAAAAGAGATAAGGTTTCAAAGCTGCTTCAGCTGTGTGGCTTTTGCTCACACAGGTCAGTTAAAATAAAAATTGTAATATTTCCATCTCCTCACCTATCAAGTTACATCTGATCTCAAATTATTTGCATTTATTTGACTTTTATTCGAGTAGATACTCTGTAATGATTTCAGGCACTATTTTTGTTCTTGTGATGTGAGAAAGTGTCTCAGCTTTGTCACCCAGACAGGATGGCAGTGCCATAATCACAACTCACTGCAACCTCCAACCTCCTGGCTCTTCCTCCTTAGTAGCCAGGACCACAGACATGGGCTATTGCCTTTGTTTTTAAGAGATAAGGTCTCAATGTGTTAACCAAGCTGGTCTCAAACTCCTGGCCTCTATCTATCCTCCCACCTTCACCTCCCAAAGTGCTGAGATTACAAGACTACAGGTGTGAACCACTGCAGCCGGCCTATTTTCATACTTTTAAATAAACTGAATGAAAACCTCCATGTATATACATGTACATTTTAGTTAGTAATTTTTAGGATCTCACATTTTGGCCTGAATAAGAAACAAAGCCAAAATTAGAAATATTCAAATGTTTTATCCAGGATAACATAGATAACATAGACAATATCTCTAAATGGTTCAATTACCCAAGAGTTTCTAAACTCTACTTGAAAATTCTACTTTCCTTTCTCACCATTAAACCAACTCCATATCACAAATCTAAAAAGGCTTAATTTCCCTTAATTTTGTCATTTTTAAAAATTGAATGATAGTTATCAGGACCTTATAAGTCATCCAGAAACATCATCATAGATAAATTTTTGTTTTACTTAATTATCATCTTGAATTTTACACTTAAAATCACAAATTAATTTTAAAAATGTGTCAAAGTTCCATGTACCAAAAAATATAGTAACACAAAAAGTAACTTAGCTTCTCAGGAACCCAAACACATCTCCAAGTAGTGCATCTTCCCCTCCCAACTCTGCTAGAATTTCTGTGAACCAAAAGATCACTGCAGCTTAGCTGTTTCTATTTTTGCTCATAGACCATAAGAAAAGTCAAAGCTAGGGGAAAGAAAATATGAACTCAGAAAACCTCTTTCCCTACCCCCATTGGAAGCTTGTAACAAGCTTCACCTAATTCTGGTCTTACTAAATATAGATCAGTCCCTCTATCCCCAGAATTGCCCTTCCCCCATTTTCAGCATGAGCCTGAGGGCTTACCTCCAACATGACCACGCAGATCTGTTTGACACACTCAATGATGGATTGCGGAATGCCAGCAATAGTGATGGCCCGCTCAGTTGAGTTGGGTAGCATATCCCCTGCCACCTGGACCTGAGCCCCTGTACTCTTTGGGGTAGAAAGAAATTCAAAATCAGAAAAAAAAAATCTCATGTTCTTTCAATTGTCCTCCCAGCAGCAATTTTAGAGTCTAAAACCCAGTGGATGAACATCCATCCCATTTCCACTGTTAACCTTCTTGATATCCTTTCCCACTCTTCCCTTATTTCAATTAGTACTGTTTAATAAGTTAAACTAGTCACTGAAACAATAAACCTAAATAACAAAATTGAGCTGTTCTGAAGAAAAGGGTCCTTAGTAAAAAGGTTCTCTTCAGCAAATGATTGTTTTGTCAGCCAATCAAAACCCCACAAACGGCTCGGTGCCTGTGGCTCAAGCGGCTAAGGTGCTTACACCTGAGCTGGCGGGTTCAAATCCACTCTGGGCCGGCCAAACAATGGCGGCTGCAGCCAAAAAAAAAAAAAAAAAAAAAAAAAATAGCTGGGCGTTGTGGTGGGTGCCTGTAGTCCCCCCTACTTGGGAGGCTGAGGCAAGAGAATCGCTTAAGCCCAGGACTTAGAGATTGCTGTGAGCTGTGATGCCACAGCATTCTACCCAGGGCAACAGCCTGAAACGGTCTCAAAAAAAAAAAACAACAAATATCACTCAATATTCTTGTATTAAACAAATATTTTTATCAGGCCCATTCATTCTACATGTCACGCATCATTCCATCAGCTTCCAATACATCCTGAGTTACAATATCAAGATCTCTGCTCACATGGCATGTACAATAAATAAGCTCCCAAAAAATGTCAAGTAGGAGCCATTCAAGTGCCATCCCAACACCAAATTCACCAACCTTCAGATACAGTTAAAAACTTTCATAATTTGGCTCAACACCCATAGCATAGTGGTTACAGCGCCAGCCGCAAACCCAGTGGGTTACAGCCAGCCCAGGCCAGCTAAACAACTGCAACAAAAATAGCTGGGCGTTGTGGTAGGCACCTGTAGTCCCAGCTACTTCAGAGGCTGAGGTGAGAGAATCACTTAAGCCTTAAAAGTTTGAGGTTGCTGTGAGCTGTGACCCCTCAGCTCTCTACTGAGGGCAACATCGTGAGACTGTCTCAAAAAAAAAAAAAAAAAATTCTTAATTCAACATTAACATCCATAATTGAAAAGGAGTAGAACTCCAACTATATAATTCCCATTTTCTCTCTGCTATTTAGAAGTCTGGTGGGAAAAAAAAAAAAATTTCTACTATTACATATCAAAATGTAATCTCTTTAGTTTTTTTTTTTTTCTCTTTTTGCAGTTTTTGGCCAGGGCTGGGTTTGAACCTGCCACCTCCAGCATACAGGGCTGGCACCCTACTCCTACAGGCCTTAGGCACCGCCCTGTAATCTCTTTAGTTATGAAAAAAAGAATTATGTAGCCTCATGAGAAAGTTACCAAACTATGCAAAGTTGCCCCCCACAATGGAAACTGACTACATGCAGTAACTGGAAATTCTGGCTAACAAACTCATTTTCCAGTTTATTAAAATCTATGAATTATATATTTTAAAAGTCTATCTTTATTTCCAGTAAAATCAATTTGTAATCTTCTCAGCCAGTGCTCACTTATTCCAGACATATAGCACCAATAGGACCACATTTGAAAC